TACTCCAGAGTGTTGTTCAGCATGGGGGTGAGTAGAAAATGAAGGCTAATCATGTTTTGGGTGTACTATTCCTTTAAGTTATCAAGCTCCTCTTCTCTGGAACAACCAGTTTTAGTTTGTAAGGCAAACACCCTATCTACTTTTAAAATGAGGCTTAAAACTTTCATTTTGTATAGAACTCGGAGTAGACCAGGTTATCCTGAGTTATATTTGCAGTTATGCTACTATAGGCTTAGACTACCAGAGGGCATAGGGACCCCTTTTTATCTTTCTGCTCCTTTGTATTTCTATTCTCCCATTCTACAGTATATGTTTGTTCAACCCTTAACTTTATGTTCTCCTTATTATTTTTCATGCCTGTAGCTTCATCTGGTCTGTTCCTATTTGGCTTTGATTCCATCCTAGAGAAATATCAGCAGAGCAGCCGCCATCAACAACAAATGATAGATAATAAAGTTGGGCCTGTTTTTCAGTGTTTAGTCATGTTCCTGTCATAGAAAAAGCTATGGGCTCAGCTGCTACTGTGATTAACTGAATGTGCTCGCTGTCGTCCTTTTTCACACCAAAAATGACTCGGAGCTAATCTGCTTCACTTGATCTATGGCGCTAGACTGCTGTTAACTTATATAGAAAGTATTTATAGATCAGTGCTTTTAAGCTCCTTTTGTATGTCTTTTTCTCTCTCCTTAAACCCCCAATTGGCCTCTGCAGAAGGCCTGGTTGTTGGAGGTTTCTTGAAGTTAAAAGAGATTTTCCTCGTGTGTGTCACTGCCTTTATGATGGGTTGCTGTAGAATCAGTGACACAATGCAAGCAAACATCTGCTGCTGTTGCTACATGCTCATCAAGGAGGAGTGAATCCTGCAAACTCAATGACTAGAAGCAATCAGAAAGCGTTCCTTAAGCCAGGCATACACTGTGCGATTTTTTCAATCGTTGCGCAACGCTACAGCTCACACTGTACAGCTCACGATGTATGGGTAGCACAACGCTCTGATGCGACCTACCTGCTCACACTGTACGTCTAAAAAGTCGGACTCAGCTTTGCAGTGAGATGGAGCTGCTCTGACTCATCTATCCGGAAGCCAAATGAATAGAAAAAGAAAATGAAGCTCACTAGAGTGAAACGCGCTGCCTTGGCAATTTGTGCAATTTTGTGCTAAAAGCCCAAAATTGCGACAACATATTTGGACAAAGACATGGCTGAGCAAACATGGCTACTACGGTCTGTCAATTTTACAGAAAGAACTCCATTTCCCCCGCACTCACGCCATGCTTTTGTGTTTACGTCTGAGAGGAAGAAGAAAAAGCAGAATCCTTGTTTTTGCTTGCCCAATGAGCGATTTGCCCAAGATGATGGTCAGTAGAAAATCAAACATGTTTGATTTTCTCCTGACCTCACGATTCCTGATCGGGAGCTGGTCATCAGAGTCTGATCGCCCCTCGTTACCCCCTGTACGCTACACTATGCACCATCAGGCTGAATCCGCCCAATTGGCCCGATCAGAAAATTCTCGCATGATTGGAAAGTCGCCCCGAAAAGGGCACAAAATGGCACAGTGTGAGACCGGCTTTAGCTGAAAAACTTTGAACCAATCTGACTGTAGTAATTGACTGGAGATGACAGATGTTGTGAGTCGGTCCTAACTTATTTGTCCTATAACTAATTTGAATTAAGTTAGTAAAATAAGGGTATTTCAATACTGCAGACTAAATAAACTTTTAAAAAACCTAATCCTAACAGTGAACTACTTTTAGTTTAGTATCGAAATGCTTTGAAACTCATGTATTTTGACACATGGTTGCTGTGCCTTTACCGTACGCCTCTAACAACTGTCTAGGTTTACATCAGGCAGAATTTGGATTGAACAGTAATTACTATGTTTTGCCTTCATGGCAAATCTACCTTAACCAGTGCTTAATATCTGCTGTTAATGGCCCTCCTGAAAGCCACCAGCTACTCCCCGCCATCAATCCATGTGCTCATTTCTCTCTCTTAGGCGACACGGAGGGTGGTTTTGGCAGAGGATGATTACAGGAGCCAGAATGGGTAATCATTAGTAGGATTCACATATTTTCAGTGTGTGGGTTTTTGGTGTGTGGGTGTCCCTCAGTCTTCTCTTTCATAACTGTCTTTAGAGACACGAGGAGACGACACCTCCTCTCTGTTCTGATATAACCACTGGAAGCGCTTAACTGCGTAGTGTGCCCCTTCGATCAGCAAAAACCAACAATACAGCGTATTTGCTTTCCAGTGGCGCTGGCGGTGAGTGGAAGCTCATGATGTAAAATAAAAGCCTTGCTGGTGATCTGGACTCTGTGGCGGCTCGATGGCGGCCTGCAAGGCACTTTCATAACATTACAGTACATTACCAATGAGTCCGTGGAGCCAAGGAGGGCTCCTGCAGCTAAACACACAAACGCAGTGATGCAAGAGAGAGGCGAGCAAAGAAAATACTCAGTGTGTCTTTTGAGCTGTGCATGAAAAGCTTAAGGCTCATTATTGAGTTGTTGCACAGCTATGATGCAACTTTTACATTTTAAATGTGTGTTTGAGCTTTGAGTCTGGACATCTGAGGTCTTAGATGGCATTAAAGTGAAAATTTAGAGCATTTTTTTAGTTTTAAAAAAGAAAATCGTTCTGCAGGAATTGATAAAGCTGACCAGACCACCTCACATATGAGTGAGATCTTGAGGAATCCTTTTTCATGATTGTGAGTTTTTCTGGCGATTCTGTTTGTGCGAGTCAGTAGTTTTATTAGTTTTCTTTGGCAGCGGCATGCACCACAAGGTTATGCACTGAAAGGTCATCCAGGAAGCAGCAGGACGGTGTTCTGGATGTCGGCCATGCGTGACAGCTCACCCGTTGATTCCCACACCTGAGTGAACCAGGAGAGGAGTGGGACTCGTCTTCCTCACCCGATCTGCCAGGAAAAGCTGTTATTCTGTTTATGGTCTTTTCTGTCTTTGTTTGTTCATTTTTTAGGGATGGAAGACTGTTTGGCGTATTCTAACCTGCTTAAGTTACAGCTTTTGATCATCTTTTTGAGATGGGAACAGATTTTTTGAATTACTGATAGAGATAATATTGACCTCCGTTACCGATCAGCTGTTTCAGCCGCCGTTGGCATCCTGAATGCAGCATTAGAATCAGGCTTCTCTCTGGATGTCCCTGATATTATAAAATCAGTAAAACTTTCCTGGTGTAAACACAATTATTAAAACCTTATCTGTGGTCTGAGGTAACTTACTCTTCCTGTTTACTAAAGCCAAGTTTAACATTATAATACGTCAACATTACGCTTTGTGTGACCTCGTTAATTCGCTCTAATGGATGGAAACGCATCCAGTTCACATTTTTGACTTTTTAAAAGTTTGCTACAAAATTTGCGTTATATTTGGATGGAAATAGTTTCTGAGTAAGACGCTGAAACTTTTAATTAAATGTTAAAGATTTGTTTTATCTGCGAAGTTATAAAAATTATTATTAGTATGTTTGAAATTATAACGTTTAGTTTGGTTACTGTGACTTAACAAATACTCTTTATAATGAATTATAAATATAAACCAATAAAGCAGTTTTAGCTGCTTTTCAAGACTGTGATGGTCTAGCACATGCTTTAACAGTAAATTAGATGTATAACATGCCATACCAGAGTATATGAGAAACTACAGAACAGGTTTAAATCAGAGGCAGCCAGACTTTTGTTCAGTTTTTTTAAAAACATGTAGAAACCTATCAGTCTTTGTCTGATCTGTTCGCTCGTTCTAGAGCGAGAGAAACCTGTATTATTCTTTTTTCTCAACTTTTATTGCCATTACACTGTCTCAAGTACAGAGCAACAAAACATCCCCTTGGAGAGCATTGGGCTGCCTTTAAACGGCAACGGGGAGCAGTGTTGGGTTAAGGGTCTTGCTCAGGGTCCCAGTACGTGGGACTTGAACTCAGAACCTCCGAGCCCCAACATTTAACTGTGTTTACCCTCAGTTTTTGG